AAAGTTTGAGTAGGATGATGTAATAGCGGAAGTGTTGAATACGAAAGCCTTGAACCACCTTGCGCTGGTATGTGAGGGCAAAGTAAGTTAATTAAAACAGGCAAATACAAAGCTTTATATAAGAGTACAAGGAATACGAATAGATGTAATTAAACTACCTTGCTGTTGCGATTCGATACAGTGCGACTCGGGCAACTGCTCTATGTCGAGTCAGTTGTGTGTCCTTGCTGTCGCGCTGTATTGGTCAAGTCAAAGGTCGCTGACCTTTGACCTTCGCATAACCTCCAGGCGGTTACCCTAACCTCCGAGGGTTGACTCGCGATGCTTCGATTTGGACTTCTTCGCTTTGTGTCCTGAGTTTCGACACGACAGGGGCGCTTAACTTATTTGTTCCCAACACAATTTACGTAAGCTTTATTTACACCAGAGGCTTCTACCGTCATCACCCGGATATACCCCCAGGTGGGGGTGTAATAAAACTTGGAAAAATGGTGGGTGGGCTTATAATGTGGTAAATTTTATAACCCCATGGGGTAAATAAATGACATTTATGAAATTTAGTGTAAGGGCCATGAAAATGTACAGAATGCCTTAGCGGTTTCATTAGCGGGGTGGGCACAGTCGGTCACGTGGTCGAAACTTCGAGAATATGGCAAAATTGGGTGCCAACGCATCCAGTCTGGCCCACGTCTGGCCAATCGAATTTACAGGCGGCGAATGCTGAGGCCAGCGGGTGCTGGATTGAGGTGTGCGGCGGGTTCAGGTGTCCCTGTTCAGGGAATCTCTGCCAACGAGGCAGGGTTTGTGAAAGGGCGGTCGAATAGGACGGGAATGCAAGAGATTCCCGTCCTTCCATGCCTCCTTGTTTGACACCTGGTTCCTCTGCGAGGACCAGGTCGATGCCCGGGTGTGACCGATGAGGAACCCGAGCCGCCTTTCTCGCAGGGGTCTTGAGGGGGTAGCTAGAATCCTCCTCATTTCATTATTTCAAAGCCTTCATGCTTCCTCCGCCTCCCGTCCCATAGCCTACGCCATGGCAGGATTACCTGCCTCGGCGTTTCTTTTTAGAAGACCTCCTACACCTGGTGTTTGCCGTGGCCGCCACGCTGACCCATGGCAGCGCCCATGTCCTCCTGCTCCTCCTGCTCCCCCAGCGCCGCCAGCCCCGCCAGCGCCACCAGCCCCGCCGGCGCCACCTGCTCCTCCCTCTCCCCCTTTTCCAGCCGTGTTTATGCAAGGTCAGCCCATACTAACCCTGCTCTCACCAGATGCTGCCCCAGCCCACCACGCGAGCGAGCCAACCGGTGCTGACAACACCTCTGAGACTGCTGAGACTGGAGGCTCTGCAGAAAACCAAGAGGTCCCGCACCCGGAGCGTGTATGGAGAGACGACGACGACTGGCCAGAACCTGAAGAGGGCGACGACGATGGCGTGGAATACTGGTCACGTGACGGTCTCCCTGAACACCTCCCCATCCCCTCGTTTCCCCCTCCTAACCGTAAACGCCCGCATCCCTCACGTGCAAATCGAGATGCCCGTCCCCCCTCCCCCAGAAGCAAGTTAACCACACGTAAACGGCATTCGTACACCGCCGGCGAGAAGCTGAAGTGGGTTGAGCGCCTCGGAGCCACCCACAACGTCAGCGAAGTGTCGCGCGAATCCGGAATTTCCAGGCGTTCGATAGCCGAATGGGTCACACAACGCAAAGCGCTTGAGGCTGCCGCGAGTTGTCGGAGACGTCTTCACGGGCACGGACGATCCTCCTGGTACCCTGACATGGAGACGCAGGTGTATACACGGCTCCTGGCGGCACGCGCGAAGGGCGTGGCTGTGTCTGTGGGGAGGCTTCAGCAGTGGTCCCACGAATCCATGAAGGAGCTGCATCCCGACGTCGTGTGGAAGGGGTCAAACCGGTGGACGAAGCGCTTCCGTCGGCAGTGGAACCTTTCGGTTCGAGCTAAAACGAAAGTCGGGCAGAAACTTTCTGATCGTGAGTACCCTCCGTTGAATGTTTTCGCCTGCCGATTCCGATTACCGGCACCTAAATTCACCTACTCTCCTTAACGTTGTTCTGTGTTGTGTGCTTCTGCAGAGTGCGAAGTTCAGATTCGAAATTTCTGGAGGTTCCTCCGTCACACACGTCGCAACTACGACATCGAACCGCGCTACATAATCAACGCGGATCAGACACCCCTGTGGCTTGAGATGCCTGCTGAAACAACACTCGAAGAGGTCGGTGCGCGGTCCGTGCCGGTTCGGAGCGCCGGATACCAGAAGGAGAGAGTGACGGTAATGCTAGCGTGCACGGCTTCGGGGGAGAAGTTGAAGCCGTGGGTTTTCTTTAAGAGAAAGCGGCCACCGCGGGGCGACTTCCCACCTGGTAAGTCGTAGCGAGTCTGAACATTAATATGCACCCTGTCTTGTGCTTAACTGACCTTTTCTTGTCTGCACTGTCGCTCGGCAGATGTTGTGGTCGCCGCGCAGCCGAAAGGGTGGATGGACGCTGACGGCGTACTCAAATGGCTCGACGAGGCGGTGCGTCCATACACCAGGCCGGCCTTCGGACGTCGGGCACGCAGGACGCTTCTCATCCTTGACTCCTATCGCGGACACCTGACCGATGCGGTCAGGCAGAAGTACTCTGACCTCGGCATCGTCCCCGCCGTGATCCCTGCTGGCTGCACGTCTGAGGTGCTGCCACTCGACGTGTCTGTAAACCGCGCGTTCAAGGCCTCCGTGCGACAACAGTACCAGGCGTGGTTCGAAAGCGAGGGCATCGAAACCCGCACGGCCAAAGGTACGTGTCGCGAGGGCGTGTGTGTCGCGTTGGCCATGTGTCGTTGGGTTTACTTGCTCTGCTAACCATGAATGCTCTGTTTGCGCGCAGGCAACCTTAGGAAGCCCCCACCAGAGCAGACGCTCAAGTGGATCGCGAAGGCATGGCGAACAGTGCCTGCAGCTCTCATCCAAAAGGCGTTTCTCACGTGTGGCATCAGTAACGCCCTCGACGGCTCCCAGGACAACCTGTGCATGCAGCACCGCCGGAACGGTGAACCCGTGTCTGTCGACGTCGATGACGAAGTGGCCGCGGACGGCTTCTTTGGAAACAACGTGGAGGAGCCCGAGTCCGATGGGGAGGATGGTGAGGCGGAGGATTTGGATGACCCCACCGCCGACCGCTACCACTAGACGGCTAGGAAAAGGATTAGGGCCAAGATACCGTAGCTAGGCATCTAAAAATGACTAGGATAGAAATTGTGTAGGTTCTGTTTAGTTATTAATGTAGAGATTACTGCCAAAACGGTCATTTCAGAGTGTTTTGTGGGGTGGGCTTATCCCAGGCACAAGGGGGTGGGCTTATCCTAAGGGTACATTCCGCTGTGGATTTATGTCACAATCGATATGTCTCAATCCACTTTCCGTCGAGCCGCGCCCAATTTTCCCGAATCTGCATGTCCCAATCGATCAATGTATTGCGACTCATCCGTGTGATGCGAAAATTATAAGCGACCCCTGCTGATTGGTCACCGTCCATCCTGGCCCACATTCCCGCCAAAAGCACAAACACCCCCGAACCCCGTCAACTGGGGGAAACACAAATCCCCTCGGCGCACTCCCCGAAGATACACAACATAGCCGCGTTGCCAATAATTGCGACATCTGGTACTATAGTGGTATGCACCAGACATAAGGAGCTAGTATAAACCACAAACACACGTACTGGAATTAACAGCTTGCGCGCACTGTCCACTAGACATGGCTGAGCCACGAACCATCCCATTCATCCTACGGCTCCTCGTCGCCTGGATAACCTACTACTACACAATCTTCCACGACAATGTCTCCAAGAGCTTCGTAGGCCTGATAGAGTCTGGCGTCTTCGAGGACGACGAAGAGCAGTCCTCGTCCTGCGGGAGCGATTACGGCGACAACCGCCGTCATAGAGCGCGGATACGAAAGCGGAAACACGCTCTGTGGGTTGAAGACCTGCAACACATGCGCGAGAACGACTTTCAGGATCTCTTCAGGATCAACCGTTCAATTCTGGAGCACATTGTGGCAGGGATGCAACACTACCTTGAGCCGATTGTGCAACGATCCATACTCACCATGTACACTGCAGTGCTGATCCCTATCAAATACCTGGCATCTGGAATATCGTACGTAGACATCTCGTACCTGTTCGGCATCTCCAAAACTCTCTGCCACGAGGTGGTCGACGTGTTCCTCTCGCACTTCCCCTCCGTCTTCAAGGCCGCCTGGGTGCGGTTCCCCACCCGTGAAGAGCTTCCAGAGATGGCGCGGGAGTTTGCAGCCGTCAAGGGTGTACCTGCTGTGGTGGGTGCTGTGGACAGCACTCACATACACATGAAGGGGATGGAGGGGCACAGGACAGAATACTGGACAAGGAAATCCGCATATGCTGTACAACTCCAGGTCACATGTGACGCACGAGGGAGAATATGGGACTACCTTATCGGGTATCCCGGTAGCGCTCACGACATGCGTGTTTTCAAGGAGTCTGCATTACTTGAGCGGTTACAGAACGGGGACATAGCCCCATACCAGATCGTTGGCGATGCGGCCTACCCACTACGGGAGTACTGCCTAACACCCCTGCATGCCCCACGAGGAGAGGACCTCATGGACGACTGGGCACAAACTTTCAACTACTGCCAAAGCGCCACACGCATGGCCGTCGAGAGATGCATTGGCGCGTTCAAGGGGAGATGGCGCATCTTCGGCCAGCGCAACGACTACAGGCTGTGGCGCTTACTCGCCGGGGCCGCGTGTTGTATCATCCTGCACAACATGTGTGAAGACATGCAGGATGTCAGGCGGCGCAACATGGCATGGGCGAACATACCACGCAACCGAGATCCGTGGTGGACGCGGGGTGCTGTCGCGGCATTCAAATGGGAACCGTGCGATCCCCCTACACAACAAGCACTCAGGGAAAGGCGAAAACGACTAGGGGAGGCGCTGCAGTCATCTTACGCTAATCGTCGGCGCCGCGAACCCATACTTCCACATCCTCATCCGCCGGCATAGCGGTGTCGCCGTCGCCCTCGTCCACACGCGTCCGTGCGGTTTCGGGAGCAGGCGCGGACTCCCCGCGTGGCGGCGGTGGAGAGAATTCATGGGGCGTGCGGTGCACATCCGGGGGAGCCGACTCTGTCATACGCTCACGGGCAAGTCTGAGATCTTGCGCCATCCATTCACGGACGAGGCCTTCGATGCGGTTCATAGCGTCGCCATGGCAGTCCTTGATGGTGGCAAAAACGAGCATGGCCGCTTGCATGGTGGCCGTCTCATGCACCCGGGCACGCCTCGGTGTGGCAGGAGTCGTTGGCGGAGGAGCTGCGACATAGCAGGGACATTCGCATTAGTGTTAGCACATAGAATAACCCGTTGTCGGTGTGCGTTGCATGCATGTTTTTTTTTTATTAAAATGTTCAAGAAACAACGTGGACGAGAACCACAACGCGAGCGATAAATCTCCGGACTCACCAGTGAAACAAGGGGTTGACGTGCCTGGCTGGGACGATTGCGGAACCTCCATGCCTGCCGGGACGTTGACGTTATTCGCGCCACCTCCGTCCACGGCATGAGGTGCGGCTGCGGCGGTGTCCTGGTTGTGCAGGTCAACGTACGGGTACCAAGGTGGTTTCTCCACGGAGCCGTTGCCCGACCCCTCGTCGGCCTTCTTATACTCACGCCATAGCACTATTAGGTTACGCCACTGTTTCTGGAGCGCGTTGACACCCCGGATCCATCCGGGGTTCGACTCCTTGATATGTGCGAGTAGCCGCGCCCAGTACTGGGTACCCTGTTTCCCCTTGAGGGGCTCGAGCTCCTCCTTGAGAAACCACTTTGCCGCAGCGAAGATGGTGCTCTCCTTGTCAGACCATAAACCGCGCTCGACAAGTGCAGCAGCACGTTTCTTACGCGGCTCCGGGCGCGCTGCAGGTTGCGCCGCCTTGCCTTTGCCCTTATCAGACGCGGCCTTGCGTGCGGTTTTCCGTTTCGGCAGCGGGGCTCGCGGCTGTGCTTCCTCGGTGTCGTCGTCCTCGGTGTCATCGGCGTCCTCCTCGTCGTCGTCGTCGCTGGGCGACATTCCTTGGTCCTCAGGTTCGTCGTCCTCGTCGTCGGAGGCAAAGTCGTCGTCGCCATCGTCGTCGTCGTCATCTGCTACGTGTTCCTCCACGGCGGGCCGGTGTGTTGCCGCCGTCCTGGTAGGCTGACGACGCATACGCGACGGCCCAGCCGTAGGCGACGGTGCAGTAGACCCCTGGCCGTCAAGAACGGGTGGCGCGGACAAGCCCCTGGGGTGACGGCCGTTGGCGATTTGCTGGTTCATCCAACGGATGTACGGGATTTCGTTTAAGTCCTTGGGGCAGTCATTAAGAGCATGCCCCTTGCGCTTACGAGCCATGCTTGCGGTGGGCTCGCTTTCAGATCTGGATCTAGAGCTAATCGCGATGGTTGAAGATGATAGAGCACAATTTCACACACGGAGCACAACGTTGACTGGTTTGAGAGAAGGAGTTGTTGCGGAGGTGCACGGGGACGGGGGGAGGGCACATTGGCGGGGCTGTGCGCGTCCCTGTCAATAATTCTGCACGGTTCGTTTCCTCCAATGAGGGTGCTCCGGACGCGTTTGGGGGGAAACTGGGTGTCGCAAAATGTGGTCCAGATACATTATGCATGGGATGACATTTGGGGCCGCGTGCGATTGCTGGGTAGTGTTGCAATTAGCTGGCGACAGTTCCGAGAATCACGCCACCCAATGATAATTACAGTCGGCGACCTTCACGAGCGCTACGGCATTCCGACACCTGGCAGCTTATGCTGGCCGTACGCGTCCCAATCGATTGAGACACATCGATTGGGACATATTCTACAGCGGAATGTACCCTAAGATGAGACAAAAAAAGGGTGCGGTTATAATCGACACACGCCTATAAGCCCACTAGTCCGATTATAACCGCATGAGTGTAACATAGGCCTGGGGGTATATCCGGGTGATGACGGTATTTCCCGAAAGTGGCATAAGGCTTGGACCCCAAACCCGAGACTATTTATTTACCCCCAGTGTTGTTCAGCATAGCAGTCAGTGGGGGGAAGTAGGCTTGGGGATCTCTTTCACTACACCCCCCACTGTCATCCCTCCGGACTACCCACCTACCGACACCCAGTACCCCACATCTCTGTTCTCCCCACCTCTGAGTACAGCATCAAACTTGCATACCTTACACAATTGGGGTGAATATTTAATCTGTCCTCCCCATCTCCGTTACTAATCAATCAATTTCTAGACATGTCACTTGGGGTATTGTATGTTGCATACATACCCTATGATCTGGTTAGTCACTAGAATACCAGCGGACATTGGAACCAACCTGATTTAGTTCGAATGCAATGCTTTTCAGGCGGTGCAGGCCACTCAAAATCCTCATACAACATCCTCCCCTGCTCCACGAGTATTTTTACAGAAAGCCGCGTGGAGATTTTGTGCGGATTTCACACCCAAGCAGCTGAGCCCAGAACCTTCATCTTCGTGGTGAAGGCCAGTTCATCACCTTCGATCGACTCGCACGACTCATCACTCTCAGACCGCTTCAAGTCCGACTTCTCCGACTCTCTCACGATCAGCCGCTTGATGAACGGCGGGAAGAACGGCCATAGTCGTTGCCGCAGCTCGGGCAGCCGCCAATCGTCGCACGTGACTACCCCGCGGCAGATCGACGCGCCGCAGTGGCAACTGAAGTTGTCGCTGCTGGTGCGGACGACGCCTGCGTTGGTGCTCCCGTAGTCGATGCTCAACTCTTCGCCTGGCGCGATGTTCCGCAAGGCCACCACCGTCACCGAGTCTTCCAATCCGCAGTTTGGATCGCACGAGTGGTTGATGAAATCGGGCGTCTCGGGCCCACGCGTCGGATCCGGCACCTGCCAGAGGTTATCGTTGACTCGCAGCGAGAGCTCCCGAACGCGTTCGTCGCTTCCCAGCAGGTAGTCGAGGCCGACAAGCTTGCCGGCGAAGACGAGAAGCGGTTCGCCACGTCGGATGCTCGCCAATGCGAACAGCCCCTTGAAGGCGTCCGCGCCGCGACCCTTGTAACGAGTTACCACGCGCGGGTCGTACCACCCCGACTCGGCCATCTTCCGTTCGATATAAGCCGAGCAGTGGCCGGCGAACCGTCGCTGCCAGTCGTGCGAGCGCCACTCGGTGAAGTTAAGCGTTCCGCGGCAGCACGCGGCGCCACAGCGGCAGCGCAGGCCGGCGTGCATGCTACCCTCCGTCTCCGTGCAGGCGTAGTCGTACGTGACGTGCTCGCCCGGCTGAATGTCGCGCAGGGCGACCATGCAACGTGGGTTAGCGTACCACGTGTTAGGGTCGCACGAGTGGTTGTAATAAAAGCTCGGGTCATCCTCGGGGTCGGCTGTCGTGTCGTACAAGTCGTCACCGACCATGTACGCATAACGAATCATTGACTCGCGCTTCTCCTTATCGGGTTCCGCTGATAAGTCAGATGCGTGGTACCCGCGAATCTCTCCTTCGTCCCAATCGCAAACGACCTCGCCTTGAGCGATAAAGCTGTGCGCGAACAGCCCGCGGCATTGGAAACCGTAGAGCTCGTGCTCTTGCACGACGATGTGTGAGTGGAGACCCATGCTGGTACCTGGGAATGCGGCGGTGAGGTTTTTCGTCGCTGAGACTATTATAACACCGGTGATACGCTGTGTTATGTGGGGAAATCGAGGGTGTCTTGGAGCAAGGCATCTCGAGCTGATAGAATCTACAGTTTTCTCCTGCCGAGTAATTAATTTCGGGTTGTGGATCCGTGAGACAGCTGATGGATTACCAAGGAATTTACCGGAACAGAAAGAGTATGGCTCCCCCTCACCAGGGCTGACGTTTCAAGGGCAAATGCCCTTAATGCCCTGAACATTAAGGGTTGGGTTCGGCCCAGCTTCCGAAGTTTAAGGGTTGGATTCGAGGGCGGCCCGTCCCCGTTAAGTGCTGGTTGTGGGCCTAACCCGGATTTCAAGTGCAGATCCCGCGACTAGCCCTTATCGTCCCATACTAATACCTCCCTCCCTTCCATTCCCTCACCAGTCCACTCGCCTCCTCCCAGCCATTCCCCTACTTTCCCATCCCTGTCAAATCCATCGACATGTTTCGTACCTCAGCCTATTGCTTAGCTGGCTCTTAGTAGTTTGCCCAAGATAACGGACCCGAAGAGATGTGGGGCTTCCTTAGCGAAAGTGCAAAAAAGTTGGTAGCCCTGATTTCAAGTGCCAGGTTTGCTCTCAGCCCGTAAATTTCAGGGCAACTTTTGGGGCACCTCAGCCTCTCAAGTTCTGGCTCCAAACAAGGGCTGTCGCTAGGTCTGGGTCCAACCCGTACAAAGCTAAGTTGCCCCGAAATCAACCCTGAAGGATCCGGAAAGCGGACTTCCATTCAGGGCATTTCTGTTTAGCTTTGAGGATACTTGCGTTAAAAAAAAAAAAAGGATAGTCGAGCTAGACACGTTAGGGGAACGGGAGCGACTGGTGTGGTGTTACTGGGAGGAGGGGAGAGGGACCAGTTCGCGGTCTAAGGTCAGAAAGAAAGGGGGGAGGGGAAGTGGGAGGGGGGGACAGGTACGGGAAATCCGGGGAGGGCCAGAACCTGCCCGTTAGGAGTCCGGGCCTGGGAAAAACCAGCCCTGAAAATCTCCGAGCTGATCTGAAACGAACCCTGAATTCTCAGGGAAAACGGACAAATGTCCGTGAATCAATAGGCCTGCTCCAAACCAATCGACAGCCCTGCCCCTCACGTTTGGTTTTCGACTTTCCTGTCCACATGTTTGGTTTTTTGTAGGATGAAAATGATCCGACGTTGTCCGCCTGCACGGAATGACAAATGGAAGGTGCTCCCTACAGTTTCCTGTCTGTACACGTTGGCATCTGTGGTCATCGGCCGCATAGATCCCGCAGATTACTGGTGACATGAAAGATATTACAGGTGTGGTCACCTCCACACCACACCTCGCCTATCTGAGATCAGCGGAAAAAACGGTTACAACATCCAGGCGTGTTCTCCAGCGGTTCAGGAGACTCTGTTCGTTGTCATAATCAGAAATCGTGTACACCCTGTTTCGCGCTAGCAGAGCATCTGGTTGCAGAACATGCACTGGTTGTAGAACGTCACCACGTTTGAAATGGTCTTATCACCGACGGTACAAGCACATTCACAAGAAAGCGGTTAGCTAGGATGCTGCATGGTAACAAACATTAAACAAGCGTTTCAAAGCGGTTGAAAAGGGTATACAGCGATAAAGAAAAATTTTGCCCCCAGTACCACTCCGTCAGCTGGTGCGGCTTTGCCCGCAGGTTTCAGCCATACGGTTTATGGCACCTGACCGCACTGTAGCAGGGAATCGCGCAAGGTGAGAGGGTCGAGAAACAGGGTGTATGAAGCGAGGTCGTTGACGGAGGTCTAAATAACTGAACCCCTGAACTATCCGGCAGTCTAACCCCCGGTTCGTACGTAAAACACCCTCGAAATGGACCTGAGTCTGCTTGCACCAGTGGCTGCTCGTCTCGTGTGTCCCTGAAATTTCCGATGGTCCGATTTTCCTCGAATGCGATGCGAGTCCGCTTGCTTGCACCAGTGGCTGTGATGTGAGCGTTTTCCGTTTCCACTGAATCCTGCTGACCGTGTCCAGATTCGTTACAATACCTGACTTGAAGTTGCCCCCCTAGAATATGCACCCTATTCGCGATAATCTCTCACCCTATAAATGCGCACCCTGGAGGTACATACCCGGGATACAAACTTTCTTGCAGGATAGTTCATTGCGAAATGGAATAGCTGGTGAGCGTTCCGAAACACAATCGCGAATAGACTTAAGCATTAACTTCAGTCACGCCTACCCAACCTCGCCCTCACTCGGAACACATGGTATAGTTTCAAGAGAAACTGCATCTCGCTGTCGACTGATAGTCCCTGAGTTTCAGGGTGTCCATCGTATCGAGCCTAAATGGGTATAGGGCACCTTCAAAAAAACAGGCAGGGGGTGTGCAATTATCGCGAATAGGGTGTACAGTTGACAGCGCATCGGGGTCCACGGTACAAATGTTCCGGGTTATAGGCCCTCGCTAAAAGAGTCCCTTTTCCCCCTTGAGTTGAATTTTCCGATATCGCCCGAGGTGTAGACCGACCTCTACAGTCCCTTATTTGGCGCTAAATTCTGCAGCTTGACTGAATCATTGCACGAATCAGCTCCGCAGCCAATCAGAGGGCCCAGATCGAACTAGCTCAACATTCAAATAAAATGGTAAAGAAGGGATCATCGATTCGATATTTAACATGGTAATTAAGATTAATTGATTTAATTAACCGTGCTTACTTCTCAATCCTGTCGCACGGTCCCCGGCGCGCTAGATGATGGCGACTCGTTTGTCTCGCTTACAGGGTTCAAAAAAAAAAATCCCCTCTATTCATGCCCCAAACATTATCGATTTTGTTTTGTTTTGCACGTTGGCCATGCGACATTAATCAACGCGGTCAACTGTGCGTGCGACACAAATCAGCAAGCGCGGTCCGAAGCTACGTAAAATACATAAAACAAATACTAGTAGCAAAACAAGTGCTCTGCATGAAATTTTCCTTAAACAGGACTATAAACAAAACAAGGTTTTCGCACATAGTCTGCGCGCGGCGTGTCATTCCGTCAGACTCTAAACGAGAACATATGTACAGTGTTTTCATCGCAATTCTGTTGAGCTTTCCAAAAGTTACACCTGGTTCTCCATAGTTTTAACGTCGATAACTGAAGGCCTGGGTTACCTACCCTTAGTCATGATAGTTCATGTTATGATATGAAGTTTTATGAGAAGGCATTCGTGTATGCTGCAGGAGCCGACTCTACCGAGTACGAAGTCGAGGAGTCAGAAGAGTCGAAGCGAAGCGGTAACCGCCTGACCAGGACCGATGCAGGCAGAAACATTTGAGGTGAAAAGAGCGAGAACGGGTTCAAAACGGGTTCCCGCGCCGCACGGTTTGAAACTGCTGCAATAAGGGAATGTACCCCTTAGAGTACATGGCTAGCCTAGGTCTTTTCGTATTCCCCTGTATTCTTATATAAACCCGATGTATGCATATTTTATCAACTCAGTCATTTACATTCACTCTGACCTGAGATTCAAACTTCCGCTGCAAACACTACTCTGCGATCAACCCTGAGCGATCCTTCGCTAAGTCCCACTTGGGATTGTAACATGGTATGAGAGCTACTCAGGGATTATTCGCAACTTCACTTCCGTGAAATTCGCCGATCTTAGATCTCGCGAGCGGCACACGCTCCAAGTCCAAGATGGCCGGAGGATCCGGAGGCCAAGCAAATCCGACGGCTGAAGGACAAACCAACCTGGCTGCGACAAATGAGGCGACAACTACGATCGGCACTGCCGCTCTCGAGCAACTTTTCGCTCGACTATCAACTATGGAGAAAGAACTCCAAGACCTGCGCAAAGGCGATGCGGGAACCTCTTCCCAACCAGTACAACCTGGACAATCGGCTGAGAAAAGTCGTGATACCGCCGCGCATACCTTCTCCTCGACACAGACAAATCAACAACAACTGCCCCCCGTCCAAGTGATGAAGCTATCAACTCTGCGCAAACACGCTTCCTTAGCGTTTCAAAAATCAAAACTACTGCCGCGTTTGACGGCAAAGACTTCTACACATGGAGTTTCGAGCTTGAGCTCCTCCTACAAACGGCGCAGATCTACCATTACTTCGACGGCTCCTACCCTAAACCGGTTTAAAACACCGAAGTCGCCAGGGCTCAGTACTACAGCGAGTCCCTCATGGCCTACAGTGTGTTGCTAGGCAACATTACGCATGCGGAACAACTCAACATTCGCTCCTACAAAGAGAGCGACGCTCCAGCCTTGGAAGCTTGGAAGCACATCGTTGAAGTTTACCAGCCGAAGGATTCGGTCACCGTCAGCAGGCTTCTGCAGCAACTTTTGGAGATAAAGATGGGGCACGGGGAGAAAGCGAATCCGTATATTAACTACTATCGTAACATCCGTGACCAGTTCACGAAGCATGGGAGTACAATTAGGAAGAAATTTTCGTCAACATAGTCCTTCAAGGACTCGGGCCAGAGTGGAAGCCCTGTAAAGCGCTACTCCGACAGCGAGGGATCATCTTAGAAGCCGCGCTATGCGCCGCACTCCTGTCCGAACAGCAGGACATGGATTCGAGCAGAACAAGCTCCGCGCCGCGCTGAGAGCGCCTCGCCTTCTACGCAGACAACCGAGAAGACCCCTCCTTCCACAGGCGCTACAAAGCAACCCTGGTGACTCCACGACTGGCGCTACTTCTGCGCAGAAACAACACCGACAACTACAACACCTGGTACCTGGACAGTTGCTGCGGACAGCACATGGTGGGATCCACGCGATACGTCTCAAATCTGAGCCGCGCCCCCGCAACCTACGTCACCGTCGCCAACAACGAGCAGTTACGCGCCTATGCGCAAGGCATCGTTGTCCTGCAAGCACGAGACAGCAACACACACATCTCATTCAACGACGTGCTCTACGTCCCGAATCTGCGCTTCAATCTGCTCTCGGCTGGACAACTCCGCGACTGTGGCATCATAATACACACGGA